AATCTTGTTTTTCTTCAAAATAGCCTTCTGATTTAGGTCTACTATGGTCCTCATTTTAGAGACCATGGAGATAATAAATAATTTCTAAGATCACAGATTAACAGCACTGGCTGCCAGTTCAAGGCTGGTTCCTTTAAAATGCATTCTTCACTGCTTGAGTAGGTGTACCTTTCATTACAGAACCTTAAGAGAAAGCCAGGCTTGAATATGAGTCGAGGAAGGAAAATGAGATTAGTTACAGCAGAGCACTCTTTCCTTAGAGATAGCCCTTTCATACTCAACTAACCTATTCCCATCTTTACATGTGTCTAGTATGTATCTAATGGGCATAGATGTCTTATCTCTGTTTTATATTCTCGCAAGCCAGATGACAAGTCCTTTTTATCTCTGAGCAAATTATTCCTGAGATCAGTATGTACATATGCCTATTATTTGCTTCCTGTAATAGGATAGGAGCCAGACTGATGGGTTTTCTATGCAGCCCCACACTGAAGTCAGGGCTGTAGGAGACAAATGGATAAGGAGCTCATCCCATGTTGATCCAGGGTCTCTACAGTGAACCTTGTTAGCTGACAGCACAGGAAGTGGCCATGATGGTGGCCCTATGGAGTTCCATTATCCTTGTAGACCAAGGACTGCTGCTATATTCCTTGAATATACATAAATGAGAATAGGAGGTGATGGAAAATACACTTTTTTTCCCCTGTAGCTGCTGTTGTTTAATTCAGAGGTCTCTGACCACTAGGAATCACGACTGGAAGGGATGAAGTAGACTGCCTACACTCAGAGATCCTAGTTTTTAAAACAGGTACATGGACTGGATGGAGCTGTTTCCTTTGATGAGAGGAGCATGTTTTGAGAGTGGGAAGGAAGGGAGCCATTGGGTAATTTTGTAACCAGAATTAGGTGGCAGAGGAAACTGGTTCTTGCCCAGAATCTATTTTGCTCTCCATTCTGGGCATGGACTTTAACTACATTTTAGCAACCGCTGCTGGTAGTTCTATATCACGGCCACATTCTGGAACATTATTGACAGTAAGGCATACCAGGCCAGGGGCAAGAACTGTCGTGATGACCTCTGTTGTGTCTTTCTTACAGTTTGCTGCACATACATACAGGGTTTTAAGGAATGACAAAGACCAGATGGAAGAAGTTAGGTTCACTGGATCACAACCTGGGGGAAAGCTGCCTCTGGGCAGGGGCTCCCAATGTGAATTATTATGCCTGAGAAATGAGAAACACCTTACACATGTAAGGTGTTAGACTTCCATGTGTCTGTTGCAGGGTCTATGCTCATCACACCACTTTCTACTTTCTGTATACCTGGCACAAGGCACTTAACTTCTTTGGGTTTCATTTTCCTAACTGGTAAAAGGGTTCTTTATAAGCACTGTCCTCGAAAAAAATGTGAGGATTAAATAATTTAATAGACTTAAAGTATTTAGAACAAATCTTGGCATGTACTAAGCACTAGATAATATTAATAATTATCTCTTAAAGAACTCTCATTTGATCTCCAGAATGCTAGGTCTTCAGAAATAGCCCTTTGCTTTGTTTGTTTGTTTGTTTTGTCTTTTTATTTTTTCTTTAGTAGTTTTCATTTTGAAAACATTTCCTATCTTAGACATACAATTAATAAAAAATGATCTGTAACTCATTGGGACCTCTGATTAATGGTGTGTTTTACTGTTAATTGAGCTGTTGTTCTATCTTTTAAACTCTATGAAAGATCAGATTTCTTGATTTCTTAATGACCAAGGGTGAGGGCAGGCCCTGGTCTGAGGGACACTCAAAGATACAAGGTATCTAAGAAGATTAGTGAGTTCTGTTTACTTGGTTGTGAAATAGTCCCTAGCTAAAGGTTGGCATGACTTGCTCATGAGAGTTAAACAATCTTAAATATTCATCTGACATTCACAGTCAGATTAGGCCCTAAAAGGGGAAACTTCCAGGGTACCTCATCTTCACAAAAGAACATGGAAGATTTGAAAATAGTGTTTGTCATCTAGCCACTGCAGGACTGGGGAGAGAATCAAGCTAATTTCCACTTCTCACCCTCTTAGAGAGTCAGTAACATGCATAGCAGAGACCCACACAGAGTGCAGCAGAGATCGTTCTCCTCATATCCTCTGGATATTTGTAGAATAGCTGTTCTTCCTTTAACATGAGATGATTTGGGGGAACTAAAGCTAGGTGTGGTAAGATCTCACCCTCTAGATCAGGGAGTGGATGGGTTGAAACCTGGTAGAACCTTCACTGGACCACTAGAAACACAAGACTGAGCAATCTGGGTCTAGTAGTAGGAAGACTTGAAGCCTCAATTGTTACTTTTCGAGACTATCCAAACAGATTGTAAGGCTGTCTCACATGCAGGAAAGAGCATGTTCTTAGTTTTACAAGTGACAGGGGTGATTCACGAACTTCTGAAAAGAAAACGCTGATTCTCGTGAGAGTAAAGGCAGCTAGAAAAATTGTCTGAAGAACTGGGTCTTCATCCAGCCATCTAGCCATCTCCATCCAGCCACCTAACCATCTCCATCCAGCCATCCAGCCATCTCCATCCAGCCATCCAGACGTCTCCATCCAGCCACCTAACCGTCTCCATCCACCCATCTAGCCATCCCCATCCAGCCATCTAGCCATATTCTGGAGGAACAGTCCTCAGGCCTGCTAATAATGTCTTAAAAACAAAACAAAACTCTTTATTGACATATAACTTTCATATAAAACACTAGTTATTTTGAGATTAAAATTTAGAAAGTTTTGACTTATATATACAATCATGAATCATCATCACAATCAAGATAATGAATGTAAACCTCACTCCCCACAAAATTCCTGCCCCTCCTCACCCCCATGCTTATCTCCATAAATCATTGACCTGATTTCTGTTGCTCCAGATTAGTTTGCCGTTTTGGAACTTTACATAAATGGAATCATACAGCTGGTAATTTTTCTGTCTGTCTTCTTTCACTCGGCGTAATTAAATTGAAATTCACCCATGTTGCATTGTCCGTGGACAGTTCATTCCTTTTTAATTGCTCCGTGGTAGGATTTCACTGTTTGGATATGCCGCAATCTCTTTATCCACTTACTTGTTAACAGACACTGGAAGTGTTTCCAGTTGGGGCGATTACAAATAAAGCTGCTATTGACATTTGTGTACAAGCCTTTGTATTAACATATGCCTTTGGGGGCGCCTGGGTGGCTCAGTCGGTTAAGCAACTGCCTTCGGTTCAGGTCATGACCCCAGAGTCCTGGGATCAAGTCCCACATCAGGCTCACAGCTCCATGGGGAGTCTGCTTCTCCCTCTGACCTCCCCTCTCATGCTCTCTCACTCTGTCTTTCTCTCTCAAATAAATAAATAAAATCTTAAAACAAAAAACAAACAAAAAAAACCCCATATAACTTTATTTCTCTTGGGTATCTACCCAGAATGGAATATCTGGATGATTAGCAGGTGTTTAAATTTTTAAGAAACTGCCAGAATGTTTTCCAGTGTAATTGGATCATTTCACATCCCCACCAACCATGTATGGGAGTTTCTATTCTCCATGTTCTTGTTAATACTTGTTATGATCAGTCTTTTTCATTTTAGCCATTCCAACAGAAGTATAGAAGAATTTCATTATGGTTTTAATTTGCATTTCCTAACAATTAATGATACTGAGTATCTTGTCTTGTGTTTATTTGTAATCTCCATGTCTTCACTGGTGAAGTGTCTGTTCAATTATTTTGTACACATATTATTACTCGGGTTGTTTGGTATTTTGTTGCTGAGTTTGTTTTTTTTTTTAAGATTTTATTCATTTATTTCACACAGAGAGAGAGAGCAAAAGAGGGAACACAAGCAGGGAGCGTAGGAGAGGGAGAAGCAGGTTCCCTGCTGAGCAGGGTGCCTGATGTGGGGCTTGATCCCAGGTCCCTGGGATCATGACCTGAGCAGAAGGCAATTGCTTAAAATGACTTATCCACCCAGGTGCCCCAGTTACTGAGTTCTGAGCATTCTTTATGTATTCTGGATACAAGACTATTATCAAATATATGCTTTATAGATATTTTCTCCCAGTCAGTGGTCTCTTGTTTTCTTAAAAAACACACCCCACTTCCCCCCAACTCCTTGGAAGGGGAGGTGAACCATGAGAGACTATGGACTCTGAAAAACAATCTGAGGGGTTTGAAGGGGCGGGGGGTGGGAGGTTGGGAGAACCAGGTGGTGGGTATTAGAGAGGGCACGGATTGCATGGAGCACTGGGTGTGGTGCAAAAACAATGAATACTGTTATGCTGAAAATAAATAAATAAATTTAAAAAAAAAGAAAAAAAAACACACCCTCAAATCTTAATCTCAAAACCTGCTTTGAGAAATCAAACCCTAGATAGCACCTTATGAAAAAACTTATTGGTGCGATACACAGTCACCAATAAGAAAGCAACACTACTTTTTTTTTTAATTTTTTATTTCTTTTCAGTGTAACAGTATTCATTGTTTTTGCACCACACCCAGTGCTATACTACTTTAAAAAAAAAATCATTGAGTGGTAGGGTGATTAAATTGGCGTTCAGTTAATAATGAAGTTGCATTAGATTTTTATTGTATGTCATACATCAGAGTGTGGTAATTTACACTTTGTATCTTATTATATTTTCTCATGTTCACCTTGACACAAGCAAGGAAGAGCTGCTACATTCAGCAGTCAAAGGAACTTAGATTGGACCCAATGCCAGACAGTATGCCACTACTTATCTAAACTATTTGTATAAAAATTTTTCACTTGAATCAATTGTCAAGCAAGAAGGAAGTACAGTTTCTAGGAAGAAGCAAGTGGGTAACAACAAATTACTCTGTGAGACCCAAGAACTAATATTTGCTTAAAAATGGTAATAGATCATTCAAATGAAAAAAAAAAAAAGGTCTATTCATCTATGGAATGCTCATACTAGTACTTACTGGTCAACTATAAAATAAAGCACATATATTGATAATTGTGTGTGTGTGTGTGTGTGTGTGTGTGTGTGTGAGAGAGAGAGAGAGAGAGAAATTGCATGATGAAATCTGTGGGAAGGAGGGTATTTGTAGGAGATTCCTAACAGAAAATCTGTCTTTGGTTGCCATCATGGATCCAAGATGCCCCAGTGTGGTAAAGATGATTATGATGGTGTCTCACAGATCAGAGTGAACAGGATCTATATCTTGAAGTGCTAAGTCTTCATAAATTTCAGGTTGAGTCAATAAATCTTGATAAGGATCTTCAGAATGTGATCTGATCAAGCAACTTAGTGCAGAAATCTAGAAATATGACATCATAACATTTACAATTATTTCACTTCAATTTTCAGTGATTTTGTCTGATCTTGTCAATTTATCCCTGCAATGCTCTAGGTAGCTCACTGATTCTCATCTGGTGGTACTCCTACTCCCACCCCACCCCCAACCCAGGCAGGGGATATTTAGCCATGTCTGAAGACGTTTTGGTTGTCAAAATTGGGGGTGGGAGACATTGTTGACCTCTAAGGGATAGAAGCAGGAATGGTGTTAAACACCTTACTTTGCACAGATCATCCCCACCACCCCCACAACAAGTAATTCCCAAATGTCAGTAGTGCCACAGCTGAGACACACTGGCCAGCCGAGATGTTCACGACAGCCGAGGCAGAGATGGGGCAAGTCCAGCCATATCTGGAACCACAGTAAAATACATTTTTCATTGATCTTGTTGGGTATTTATGTAGTCAATAATCCATGCCAGGATCTACAGGAGTTTGAGGAGGAGAAAGAGAGAGGGCCATTCCAAAAAAATAATAAAATGTTGTCAGTGAAGGAGTACTTGGGTGGCTCAGTCGGGAAAGCGTCTGCCTTTAGCTCAGGTTGTGATCTCAGGGTTCTGGAATTGAGCCTCTTGTGGGGCTCCCTGATCAGCGGGGAGTCTGCTTCTCCCTCTCCTTCCATTCCTCCCCCCCCCATGCTCTTTCTCTCAAATAAATAAGATCTTTTAAAAAATGCTATCCATGAACACAGGGAGATATGCCCCTCTCTCTTTCATCCTAGGGATATGGAAACAGAAATATTGGTATGATAAATTTGGTGGGGGGGGGTCACAAGGCCAATCATTTTTGAGGGTTTTCAGAATCTATGACATGTGGCTATGTGAGAGATATACACATATGAATATATAGGTACACATGAGCACAAGAACATGTCAGCATGTAGATGATTGATGGGATAACATGGAAAATCATGAGGTGTGGAATTACTATTTAAATTATGTGTTTACAGAGTTATTGCATCTCTTACTTGACTGCGACATTTTCCATTAAGTATTTATTTTATCTATGTGATTTTCACTAGTTGAAGACATGGGTAAAGCCACTGTTTCCTTATCTCACAACCCAGTAAATATAATACATGTTCAGTATATTTTGGATGAATGAAAAAGAAATGAATGTGTAATGTGTGAGGGAATGAGGGAAACTGTGTAAGTCATGAGGAATGAAATGTTTCTACAACGAAATTGGTAGAGATAGATTGTCTGATGAGTGTAACACAGAGCCACGGTTGTCTAAATTCACCAGCTCCCTGTCTTCCCATTAAGAGGGCTTTTGGAGGTTGATTGTGGTGGTGGTTTTGCCATCTCTACTCAACCAGAGATGGAAGTTAACAGTTTGCACCTATGATTCTCTGAAATGTTTTAAATGCTCTCTCATCTTCCCAATAAAAAAAGGCTACTCACCCAGCTGATCTCATTGCCATGCACAGTATAAGTGAGCCCACAGAGTGAGAAGGAAATAAAAATTTGCACACAAGTCACTATCATTTGAAAGATCACGATAACCTACGGAAGAGAAGAGGAGCAGGAGCTTAGATTTTCCCACTTAGCTTTAGCCTGCGCTCTGCTCCCCCTGGTTGCCCAGGGGCAAGGGTTAGTGGATATTTTGCAGAACAATGCCCTCCCTATCCAGGATATGCACATTCTCTTCAGACAGAAGACTGGATCAGACACAAACCTTGCTTCAGTGAGCACCAGACATAAACTCTTACAGAAGCAAATATAGTTATGGGAGTTCTAAATGGCAAACTTCTGCAAAAAAACTCCTTTCACATTCTAGAGGGAGTTACTGCTACTTTAGCCATTTTGTCCCATTTATTAGACAAACACTGACTATGAACAGGCCAGGATTTCTGTCTGTCTGTTTTTCTCTCTCTCTCTCGCTCTCTCACACCCGCACCCACGTATACACAGGCATACACATACATACACAAAGGTCATGAGATTCAACTGTACTTGCAGAAAAAATGGATTTACCAACATTCCACTTGCCTTTTAAATTAACATTAAAAGGATGCAGACCAGCTCCCCTATTTTATATAATTTTAACTACAATTTAAATGTCTACTTTAACTAATTCTAATCCATAGGCTAATTTTCTTTTTTTTTTTTTTGAAGATTTTATTTATTTATTTGACAGAGAGAGAGAGAGAGAGATCACAAGTAGGCAGAGAGGCAGGCAGAGAGAGGAGGAAGCAAGCTCACTGCTGAGCAGAGAGTCCGATGTGGGGCTCTATCCCAGGACCCTGAGATCATGACCTGAGCTGAAGGCAGAGGCTTAATCCACTGAGCCACCCAGGTGCCCCCATAGGCTAATTTTCAATTAGTGTTCCAGATCAAGTCTCTCTTCTCTGATCTATGAACAATAAAAGACTGTTCATAGATCAGTGTGCCCAGAGAAGAGAGAGAATTTGGAATGATAAGAGTATATGTTTTTCAAATGACACACTCACACAATTCTTCAATTCTAATATCAGGTTTTTGTTTCCTTTTTTAACAAAATTCACAATTACATTTGTTTGGGGTTTTTTTTCCCCCTGTTACTTTTCAACTTTGAGAAACTTCATGGTAGGTTTTAGTCTCTGAGGACTAATGGAACTGAAAGCAAGCATCACAGGTGAAAAGACCATCCAACAAAATAGTACTTACACTTACAAAGGTTTTAATCAGTGAACACTCACGTAACTCTGAGCATTCAGATAAGAATACATCAACTAAATTCACTGAGAGAAGAACTATCCCAGTGCTTGAAAGTAGTGTGCTGATAATGTTAGCTCCAATAGTCACTCCAGTCTGCAAGAGAATAATGCATTTAGTAGAAGTACTCAGGGCCTTTGTATTTCCGAATGCCTCTTTGGCAATATCCGTGAGTCACACCCTGGCTCCATGGGCTAGTGTAGGTGAGCCTTCATAAGCAATCCAGCCTCTTTACCGGAGCGGTATGCTGGCAATCCACCTCACACATGGGAGAGAAGGAAATAACCTGGTCCTCCTGAAATGAAAGGTCATGGACAGAGCCAACATGGTGGGGGTTCTGTCTGTTCTGATATCACTGGTAGGAGTGATCTCTAATATGTCCTCCTGAATTAGAAGCTCCCTGATACAAACGCACAAACATATGCACCATCCTCCCCATTTTAGCCTTCCAAAATGTACCTCTTCAACCACTGCGATGGGATCTCTATGTAAGACTCCCTTACTTTGCTTCTTACCAGATTTTTTAAAAAGTGTTTGCTAAAATTCATAAAGTTGAACACTTTCTCCTCCTAAAAAAGCTAAGTATATGCCTTATATGCTAAAGAATTAATAGATCGTTGAAGAAAAAGTTGCAAGGTAGTCAATAAAATAGACTGGAAAATCCAAATTTTGTGTTGGTTTAGCTTTGTGTAGAGAGTCAGAGTCAACTGTTCTTATTAATTCATGAAATGAGCAAAAAGGAAAATGATACTCACCAGAAATTTTGTTTGTTTTTTTGTACATGAGATGGTCAAAGATCCAGACATGATGAACTGTTTGTAAGACAGGGAAGACATTCATGGGGGAGAACTCTTTCCCATCCACATCACCTACCACCACCCTGGATGACCTATCCTGAACTCCACATCTCACCCAGTCAATATGTATATTCTGACAGAATATTCCTAAAGAACAAATCATTGAACTGAGTCAAGTTGGATCTGAGTCTACTTTGGGCGTATGGATGGAAGAATATTGAGTTGGACAGAAGGTGAGGCAAGGGCTCCATGTAGATGCCATCAGTTGTGACAAAGTTGAATGGGAAGAATGATCCTGACGTACACACCCCCATTCTAATCTATCCAAACATATTCCAACCTGAAAGTTCATTTGCTTTCTAATGTATGCCTGGATCATCTCAGTTAAGTATGATCTCTCCTTTCAAAGGAGGGAGCATGGGACTCGAGCATTTTTTTATTTTGGCCAAACACTTGCAGTTGGTCCTGAGGCTACTTTTGTCACCTTCTCTCCTACAAATTCCCTATGTATTCAGCCTGGTGGCTCTGCTAAAAAAAAATCAATCAATCAATCAGTCAATCTCAGCTGTTGTCTATAAAAAGAGAGGATAAACTAATTAAATACATTTTCCCTTTATTTATAATTTCCAAATAACTTCTTTGGTTTCCAAAGTAGTTCTAATAGATATACTCACAGACGCTCCAGCCCAGAATGGGTAGCCAATATAAAAGCAAAATAAAAGATTCCTGTCCTTAATGTACCAGTAGAAAAAAATCTCGATGATGCCAGCTAAGAAGCATTTCAGACCAATCATTATCTGAGCTACCTGGAGGAAGAAAAACAGAACATAGGGGTGAAGTAGAAACTCTTCACAATTAGAGACATCGTTCCCTCAGATCTCAAGATCATATATGAATCACGTGTGATCTTTTCACCTTAATTGGAAAATAATCCTTGGAAGAGAATCCAAAGAAATTGTATTGGTTTACCAAGCCTTGTTGATGGATATTACCTCATGGGGATATTACATTTGGGAAAAACATCCCATTTGATCTCTGGGAGCCCAGAACACCTTCATCCCAAAACATTTGACCTAATGGTACACCCAAATATATCACCCTCACTCACTTCTTACCTAATCTTATGAATTGGCATGAAATAATTTATCCCAAATAAAATTACAGATCACATTAATTTTCCATACTCACCCCCCAATGTCTATAGGACTAACGGTAACTTACACCCAGGGATTGCAGATTCTTTTTAAGGAAGTTATGCAGCTTGCTGGGTAGATGTCCATCAGAATCAGATGCGTCTGCTTGTCCCACCTGCATGCTTTGAATTTCATTTGTTGAAATGCCCTCAACAAACCCACTGGTACCAATGACATCTCTCATTCTGTAAAAGACCACACATAGTCAGAATTCTTCATCAAGCCCCACGATGCTCAGGATGCAGAATGCTATACACATTTCTGGAGGTGTTTCGAAGAAAGCAGCTGCACACTTCCTAGTACTGAGAGGATTATATATATATATATATATATATATATATTTAAAGATTTTATTTATTTGACACAGAGAGACAGCTAGAGAGGGAACATAAGTAGGGGGAATGGGAGAGGGAGAAGCAGAATTCCTGCGGAGGAGGGAGCCTGATGCAGGGCTCAATCTCAGGACCCTGGGATCATGACCTGAGCCGAAGGCAGATGCTTAATGATTGAGCCACCCAGGTGCCCCTGAAAGGATTGTATTTCATAGGAAGAGAAGACATTGGCAAAAGGTATCATCTGTAAAACTTGTTCCCTTGGCTCCCAATGAATCTATCTGAGGGAGATGATAAGCAACCCTTACTGGAGGCCTGGAAGCCTGGGTTCTGAGGCCCTGCAGGATGGAATCAATGCACTATGGGATTCTGGAGCACAGTAGTGGGAGACAGGCAGGGACAGGTAAATGGGGTGCCACTCCCAGGAATCAAAGATGCTCACCCTTGCAAAGGGTGAAATCTGATTGAAAGGATGTGTACCGTAATGTCAGGCACACCCTGGCAAAAATCTCAACTCTCCTAGTTATTTGATGTGGAGCTTCGGAAAATTCATGTACATTCTCTGAGTTTCTTTCTTTTTAAAAGATTTTATTTATTTGAAAGAGAGAGAATGAGAGAGAGCACAAGAGGTGGAAAGGTCAGAGGGAGAAGCAGACTCTCCATGGAGCAGGGAGCAGGATGTGGGACTTGATCCCAGGACTCCAGGATCATGACCTGAGCCGAAGGCAGTCGCTTAACCACTGAGCCACCCAGGTGCCCCCCATTCTCTAAGTTTCTATTCTTCAGTTGTGATTGAGGAATAACAGTGTTTATCTCACTTCATAAGGACTTTATGATGTAATGTTATTGAGAGAACTCATCAGAGCTATTTAATAATCAGCAATATGAGGAGTGTTTCCACTTAATTTCTTTTCTCCTCAGAACAAGAGCAATTTGAAGCTTTCCTATTAATTCTCCCATATCACTGCTTAAAATTTCAATATGATCAATTTTTAGAATAGAACAGAATGGATCTCATTCTATTGGCTTTTCCTCTAAGCCTAAATTATTATTTTTTTCTTTAGAAACCACATTGCGATACCACCTTACACCAGTTAGAATGGCCAAAATTAACAAGACAGGAAACAACAAGTGTTGGAGAGGATATGGAGAAAGGGGAACCCTCTTACACTGTTGGTGGGAATGCAAGTTGGTGCAGCCACTTTGGAAAACGGTGTGGAGATTCCTCAAGAAATTAAAAATAGAGCTTCCCTATGACCCTGCCATTGCACTACTGGGTATTCACCCCAAAGATACAGATGTAGTGAAAGGAAGGGCCATCTGTATCCCAATGTTTATAGCAGCAATGGCCATGGTTGCCAAACTGTGGAAAGAACCAAGATGCCCTTCAACCGACGAATGGATAAGGAAGATGTGGTCCATATACACTATGGAGTATTATGCCTCCATCAGAAAGGATGAATACCCAACTTTTGGATCAACATGGACAGGACTGGAAGAGATTATGCTGAGTGAAATAAGTCAAGCAGAGAGAGTCAATTATCATATGGTTTCACTTATTTGTGGAGCATAACAAATAGCATGGAGGACAAGGGGAGATGGAGAAGAGAAGGGAGTTGAGGGAAATTGGAAGGGGAGGTGAACCATGAGAGACTATGGACTCTGAAAAACAATCTGAGGGTTTTGAAGGGGCGGGGGGTGGGAGGTTGGGGGAACCAGGTGGTGGGTATTGGAGTGGGCACGGATTGCATGGAGCACTGGGTGTGGTGCAAAAACAATGAATACTGTTACGCTGAAAAGAAATAAAAAATTTAACAAAAAAAGAAAGCTACACTTTTTTTTTTTTCCTTTTGAGAGAGAGAGAGAGAGCAAGTGAGCCCATGGTGGTGGGTGAGGCAGAGGAAGAGGGAAAGAGAGAATCTTAAACCTGACATGAGGCTCAATCCCAAGACCCTGAGATCATGAGCTCAGTTGAAATCAAGAGTAGGAGGCTTCATTGAGTGAGCCACCCAGGTGCCCCGAAGCTATACTATTTTTATATACTTAACATAATAAATGCATTATAAGATTTTGAAAAATAGAGAAAAATTCACGCAAAGTTAGATTAACTACACACCACTAACGACATTTGTTTCCATTCCGTCCCAATAGTTGTTGATATATATATAAATGGTTTTTGAGAGCTTAATTATGGTTTATGTGCATGCTTATCTCTAAATTTTTTACACTTAGCATTATATATTAAAAATCTTTCCAAGTGTCTTCTAATCATCACTTTTACATCTGTACAATATTTGATAAAAAGGCTAATAGAATAATTTATTGAGCATTCTCAAGATGCCATATATTAAAGTGACATTTTTGTTACTGTAAATAAATATCCATTTAACATTAATATTTATAAAATTTCCTTTTGTGGGATTACTGCATCAAAGCGTAAGGATCATATAGCATGTGTTACACAGCCCAAATTTCATGCCAAGAAGGTTTTCTCTGTTTCGTCGTCACTAGAAATACCTGGATTATCAGGTTAGGACACCCTCGCTGAAACACTTCTTTTCTAAAGATTAAATCAAGTATTTACAAAATATTTCAAACTAAATGTAAAACATAGTGGCAGTTTTTTTTTCTTCTTTTTCTGGCTGTGACATTCTAGTAATTTAAGATTTTCTTTATCGTTGTTTCTTTAGCATCTAGACCATCATTTGGCATCTAGTGGGAGAAAAACCTTTACTTTTTAAATGAATTAATGATAAACAATGAAAGGAAGATATTGCTAAAATTCTAAAACAAAAGCAAGTAATTCTTTTACGGGTAAAACATGAATTCTGATGCAAAAGGACAGATAGAATTAAGGACAACACATGTTGCTCTAGAAACTTCCTGAATCACTTTTGACCATGGAGTGTACATTGGCCTCTGTGAATTCCTTGTATCTGTGTATTTCAGAGTTTAAGAAAATGGCATACTCACCTTTTGGTGAAGAAGATAATTTTATTTTCCAAAACTCTAATTTCAAAATAAAACACTGCCCTAACCTGTGTATGAGCGCATATGCTTGTGGTTAAAATTTTTACAGGGATAAGAAGGGGATAATAATGATTGTCTCTGAGTGCAGAAGAGGGGAAAAGGGACTGAAGGCTCAGGGCTAAGGCTTCAGCTCTGCCTCCAAAGATTTATTTATTTTTATTATGTGACATTGAAGCAAATGAAGCCAAAAGCGGTCTGTTGACTCTGGGCAGTAGGTGAAGTATTTGTAACGGTATTGTCTGTATGTATAACCTTACTAAAGAGATAACAGCAAGAAAATACAACCAAATACGACACAACAACCGCTTTGTTGGCAGAGAAAGGATGTCCTGCTCCCTGCTCCCCTCCCAGGGTCCTCACTCTGCAAGCCTGGATCTGCTCCCAATCCAAGGGTTTTGTGTATCCCCAGCCCAAACTCATCACAGAAGCCAAATTCTACCAGAATATATGAAACCGAAAATGCTCTGCACCTACCTTGATCTCTCTCCTAGGCTGCTGGGCTTTTAAGCAACAAGCTATCCTGGTTTGCAACTTTGTGTTTCATCTCTTTCACCCAGCTGCCCCTCTGCCTTCTGCCCTGGAGAAGGATGGTTATGGCAGAATAGTTACTCTAGACTTCTTCATTTCCAGCTTCCGCTTACATATACCGGCAGTAGAGATAAGCAAGCCTTAATAGTATTGGAAGATAGTGAGCAATCTACCAAGCTCGGAAACAAAGCTTCCTGGACTCTTCTGGCCGTACATATTCTATCACGTTTGTTTTCATTGAATTCCTTTATTTAGGCTCAAGCTCCCTGGCTGACATTTACATTAATGGTTCTGTGCTCATTCTTGTGATGTTCTCAACATGCTGCTATCAAAAAGATAACTTCAAACCCTGGCCTCTTCCCCAGTGCCGCATGCTTTTTTTCCTTGCTGAGAGGACACTTTTGAAAGGTTAAAAATGTTTCCTTTCCCTTATCTCCAACATCAGAGAGCAGTATAGTCAATGGCGTTCAGAATTTCTTCTTCCAGTCCTTACATGACACAAGGATCTACTTATGTATTTCAGAATTTTTTTTTAAAGGAAGCTGAGAACTGGATCGAAGATCACAAGGCTTAGTCAAACCAAGTCTATGATTATTCAAACCAAGTCTATCAAAATGCCTGCCTGTGTTGTCAAGGTTAATTTTAGCACGTCTATATTCCCCAGAGCTGTTTTTGGGAGAGTACCTGCAAGGCGCTGACCTTGGTCAAGGCATGAACACATTGACTCATTGTGTTGCTTTGTAACCATGGGTCTGAGGAGTTTCTGGGTGGTTTGTGCCGGCTTGTCAGCATTATTTACTGATAACAGCGTGACTAGTGATTTGCACATAGCTTCAGGGAGACCACAGAATGTGTGCTGTTGGGGCTGGTTGCATAACATGCCCACAGGACAAGGCAGGTATAAGAAGTCCAACCACCACTACAGTTTTGGGCTCCCTGGTCCTGAGGTATTCTGTTGGGATTCGCTGTCAAAAACAGAACGTGCATTCCGGAGGAAAGGGGAAGACAACTGAAACTCAAGCCTGGCATTATGGACTGTGAGGCAGTTCTTAGCTGGAACATCTATCCTTAGTTTAATGCTAGTGTGATATTATGTCCTATCCCTCCAATAGATCCTAGTTGTACACATAGTCCTACTGGGTCCTATGAATCTTCTTTACAAATTAAACCCTAACTCTTTCCATTGGAACATTGGCATCAGAAGTGACATTGCATTGAAGACCAAGATTCATCTTTAACTAAAAATATTGCTCAGGATTTATTTATGGAAAAAAGGATGCTTTTGATAAAGGGGGTACAGAGGTGGTTACTGAACCACTGTGGCGTGAAGTAGCACAGGCTTTAAAATCAGTTACTGATCACAGAACTTCCAGGTATAATATGGAAATGATAGAAACTTGACCTTAGGATCTAGCAAAATGAATGAGTAAGAAACTGCAAAAAAGTGGTAGGTCAGCTAAAAATTCATTTTTAGTGTTCCTGCTTAGCAAAAACAAAGGTGAGTTTTTCCCTTTTTGGCCAACAGGAGGAGTGCCAGTCAAAGGAATCTGGACAACCCACACTGATCAATTGTCTTCATCTATAGGCTTTTGAGAATTTAGTTTACAATGGATTAAAGGAGACATGCATCCTCTACACTCAAAAAAGGGCACATGCTCTGCTGTCTCTCCTTTGCCTTATGATGGTCAGTGGCTACTGAAGCACTACAGAAACACTGTAGAAGCTAGTGGCATCAGAATTGTTCCACAAAGACTATGAAACAAGCTCCCAAGTGGTATGCCCCTTGCCTAGGTTATGGCCGATACGGTGATAACAGACGTCCCACCAGAACGGCCCTCTTAATTTGACTTTGTCCTTGTGACCTCAGGAAGATGGAAGATGGAAGATGACATATTTTTCTGTAGCTTTCTTTCCTTCTAATGTTTTGTCTGGCTTTGGTATCAGGGTAATCCTGGCTAATGGAATGAGTTGAGAGTGTCCCCCTCCTTTCTTTTGAGAAGAAATTTATCATGGATTGTTATAATTTTGTCTTTAATTATCTGATAGATATATTCACCAGTGAAGTTATTTGGGTTTGAGCTTTTCTCGGTGACAAAGTATTCAAATATTATTTCAGTGTTTTCATTTGTTATACATATATTGGTGTTTTCTAATTATTTCGGATCAGTTTTGGTAACTTATGTCTATTTTATAATTTCATTTACTTGCATAAATTGCTGGCATGAAATTGTCTGGAATTATATTTAATGCCTTTATAATGCTTTTAATTTTTGTGGAGTTGGTGGTGGTGTCTCCACTTCCATGACTGATTTTGATAATGTGTGTCTTCTCTCCCATTTTCACTTGGTCTGCCTAGCTGATGGTCATCAGTTTTGCTGGAATTTTCAAAGAACCATCTTTTGGTTTCATTGATTTTTATTTATTATTTTTCTGTTTTCTGTTCCTTGATTTTTCACTCTAGACTTAATTATTTCCTTATTTCTCCTTACTTGGGATTTAGTTTTCTCTCCTTCTTTTTTTTCTAGTTTTGTAGGAAGGGGCTTAGGTTATTGATTTGAGACATTTTTGTTTCTGATATAAGGACTTAAAGCTATAAATTTTCTTCTAGGCCCAGGGTTTGCCATCTCCCATATATTTTGATATGTTTTCTTTTCTATTCAATTTAAAATATTTTAATTTTAAAATATTTTAAAATATTTAAAATTTTAAAATTTTTTAAATATTTTCCAATTTCTTTTTTGATTTCTTTGATTCATTGTCAATTGAGAAGTGAGTAATTTAAATTTACAGTTATGTGGGGGATTCCACAATGTCATTCTGCTATTGATATCTCATTTAATTTTGTTTTGTTCAAAGAATTTACTTTGTGGTATTTCAATCTTTTAAAATGTATTGTCTTTTAAGTTCTAGCATGTGATTGGTATTTGTTTTCTATCACTGTAGAAAAATACATTATTACCAATATTGTAATACTTGGTAAATTATTGGTGTTTGATATATATATATGTATATATATATATATGTGTATATATATATGCTATTGTGATATCATGTCCTGTCCCTCCAATAGATACTAGTTGTACACATAGTCCTACTGGGTCCTATGAATCTTCTATAATCTATATATATATATAATATATATATAATATATTTTATATATTATTTTATATATTATATTATATATATAAAATAATTGGTAAATACATTATTACCAATACAATATTACCAATTTTGTGGCTTAACACAATTCAAATGGGTTATCTCACAGTTTCCTTGGGTCCAGAGTTGAGCATGGCAGGATGGGGTTCTCCGTCCAGGGTCTCAAATGGCTAAAGTCAAGTGTTGGCCAGAGCTACCATATCATCTTGGGCATGGGAGCATCTGCCAAGCTCATTCAGGGTGTTGACAGAGTTTAGTTCCTAACAACACTGGGAATGAGGTCCCATTTTTTTTTGGCTGTCACTAGGGGCCTCTTGGAGGCCATCTGCCATTCACTGCCACATGTCTCTATCCAAGACATGACAGCTGCCCTGTCCCTGATCTCTAGACCCAGATTTAAGTGGCTTGTGTGATGCGGTTGGGGCTGCTCAGACAATGTCCTTGACTAACCCCAAATCAAATCCTAGAATATTAATAATACCCTTAAAAGTCCTTTTGCCACACAGCATAATTCTGGGAGTGGTACTTGGTGATTTCACTAGTTTCACTCAAAACCCATTTTCACAAAATGGGTGGAGTGTTTTAATAGTATACTATATTTTATATATTATAATGTTTTATGTATTTATGATTATGTTTATATATTATAATGTTATATTAATATTATTATTTATTAATATATATTATATTTTGTTAAGTTTTTAAAAAATATATGCATCAGGTTAAGTTGGTTAATAGCTTTCAAGTCTTTTATTTTCTTTTTGATTTTCTGTCTAGTTTTTCTATTAGTGATTGAGGATAAAATATTGAAACCCAATATTGCTGAATTCTCCTTTCAATTCTATCAGTTTTGCTTCTTATATTTGGGGACACATTTATTTACTCTTGTTTCTTCCTGCTCTGATGCCCCTTTTATCATTACAAAATACCCCTCTTTCTCTCTAGTAATGTTTCATATTAAGTATATTTTATTTCACATGAACATAGCCCCTCCAGCACCCTTATGGTTATGGTTTGTATCTTTTTGAAGAAGCAAATAATAAGTAATTTCTAGAGGTGTATTGTCCCCACCTCACTAATGACATGTGCAGACAAGTTTGTGGGTATGATTTCGTGCTGTCAGATTAGCTGCCTACAGGGAAATTCTCCAGGGATACCAAATTAGTACACTGGCCTGCCTTTTCTATTTTGGGGGGAAAATTTTTCTCTTTATCACCACTGGGTGTCAGTAGAGTCACGTGTGGCAGAGGCTCTGAAAAGCCATTACTTCTAAAACCTTCCCTTGTATTCACTACATCTGTATCTTTGGGGTAAATACACAGTAGTGCAATGGCAGGGTCATAGGGAAGCTCTATTTTTAATTTCTTGAGGAATCTCCACACTGTTCTCCAAAGTGGCTGCACCAGCTTGCATTCCCACCAACAGTGTAAGAGGGTTCCCCTTTCTCCACATCCTCTCCAACACATGTTGTTTCCTCTCTTGCTAATTTTGGCCATTCTAACTGGTATAAGGTGGTATCTCAATGCGGTTTTAATTTGAATCTCCCTGATGGCTAGTGATGATGAACATTTTTTCATGTGTCTGATAGCATTTGTATGTCTTCATTGGAGAAGTGTCTGTTCATGTCTTCTGCCCATTTTTTGATATGATTGTCTGTTTTGTGTGTGTTGAGTTTCAGGAGTTCTCCATAGATCCTGGATATCAACCTTTTGTCTGTACTGTCATTTGCAAATATCTTCTCCCATTCCGTGGGTTGCCTCTTTGTTTTCTTGACTGTTTCCTTTGTTGTGCAGAAGCTTTTTATTTTGATGAAGTCCCAAAAGTTCATTTTCGCTTTTGCTTCCTTTGCCTTTGAAGACATATCTTGAAAGAAGTTGCTGTGGCTGATATCAAAGAGGTTACTACCTATGTTCTCCTCTAAGATTCTGATGGATTCCTGTCTCACGTTGAGGTCTTTTATCCATTTTGAGTTTATCTTTGTGTACGGTGTAAGAGAATGGTTGAGTTTCATTCTTCGGCATATAGCTGTCCAGTTTTGCCAGCACCATTTATTGAAGAGACTGTCTTTTTTCCACTGTATATTTTTTCCTGTTTTGTCGAAGATTATTTGACCATAGAGTTGAGGGTCCCTATCTGGGCTCTCTACTCTGTAGCAAAGGGAAGAGAAAATAAATTACCACAGTCTAAGATTCCCTATTTAGAGGTATAAGGACTCTCTTGAAGAAATGAAGGGTTTTATGAAATTAATCAGTTTCCAAATCCTAGAGGTGGATTGAGATTAAAATTGATTAGAGGATCAGAGTGGTGTAGGGGAGTTAGGGGAGGGGTGGAAGAAAATAGAAAATAAAACTCAAGTTAACTGAGCATCTTCTATGTACTAGATAGATATAATGGTAAGCACTTCACACACATGTTTTCAATACATCTTCATATCTCAATGTAGATGGCAGTCTCATTGCACTCATGCTAGAGGGGCATGGGTGCTTAGCCGTTATGTTGAACCTATGGTGAGAACTGACTTTGAGGGTTGCCTAAAGGGTTGGCTGCGTTTTCTGAGAAAGGAGTCAAAGCTAGGAGTATAAGGGCTTATTTAGCCAGAGCGATTCTGTCCGGTTAAACAGTGATCTTGATGTTTATGCAGTAAAACTTAAACTGACCCTGCCCTCTGCCCCCCAGAGGACTTACTTAAAAGCAAGTCCGGGAAACCAGTCCCAGGTAACAAAGCCCAAATACAAGGGCGGGTCAGGCCAGGTGGAGACATCCAATCAGTGGGGCATGCATACTATCTCCCTAGCTACCAAAGAGTGTGGGCCCCCCCTTTTGGGCCCGTTGGGTGCCAATTCTGACCAAGGTGATAGGCTAGTTCAAATATCTACTATAGAGTAAATTGTGATTCAATTGGTCACCTGTGTTGACCTAGGATGACTATGCAGCTTTCTCTGTGTGTTGCAATCTCCTTGGGCACCTGTGTGTGGTCAGGCCCAACCACACGGCCTTTGCCCTTTAAAAGTTAGTCTGTAAGGCAGGGAGGGGTCGCCCTCTCTGTAAGAGGCAGCCCCGAATGGTCGGTTTGATTTTTTTTTTTATGTTTTTTTAAATCATTTTTTAAAATTTATTTTCAGCATAACAGTATTCATTGTTTTTGTACCACACCCAGTGCTCCATGCAATCCGTGCCCTCTCTAATACCCACCACCTGGTTCCCCCAACCTCCCACCCCCCCACCTCTTCAAACCCTTCAGATTGTTTTTCAGAGTCCATAGTATCTCATTGTTCACCTCCCCTTCCAATTTCCCCCAACTCCCTTCTCCTAACTCCCCATGTCCTCCATGCTATTTGTTATGCTCCACAAATAAGTGAAACCATATGATAATTGACTCTCTCTGCTTGACTTATTTCACTCAGCATAATCTCTTCCAGTCCCATCCATGTTGCTACAAAAGTTGGGTATTCATCCTTTCTGATGGAGGCATAATACTGCATAGTGTATATGGACCACATCTTCCTTATCCATTCGTCCATTGAAGGGCATCTTGGTTCTTTCCACAGTTTGGCAACCATGGCCATTGCTGCTATAAACATTGGGGTACAGATGGCCCTTCTTTTCACTACATCTGTATCTTTGGGGTAAGTACCCAGTAGTGCAATTGCAGGGTCATAAGGAAGTTCTATTTTTAATTTCTTGAGGAATCTCCACACTGTTCTCCAAAGAGGCTGCACCAACTTGCATTCCCACCAACAGTGTAAGAGGGTTCCCCTTTCTCCACATCCCCTCCAACACAAGTTGTTTCCTGTCTTGCTAATTTTGGCCATTCTAACTGGTGTAAGGTGATATCTCAAGGTGGTTTTAATTTGAATCTCCCTGATGACTAGTGATGATGAACATTTTTTCATGTGTCGGTTTGATTCTTGATGCTTGGCGAGAAATAAAAGCTTTGCTTGACTTTCGTTTTGTATCAGTCTCACTCCTTCGATTATGGTCCTAACAAGAGAGACCCAGGAGGAGCTCCAGCACTAGAATGATGGAAGTGGTGGGGTGGCGAGATGAGGGTACGATGGAGTCAACCGTGTGTGGAAGGACAGTGGCCCCATGTGTTTGACAGCCCCACTTCGAGTGTCCACTGGGGTGTTCTCAAAAGAAGGAATCATTCTCTCTCTCTCTCTCTGTCTCTCTCTTTCTCTCTCATACACACACACACATTTATCCCCTACATTCTTTCAGGCAGAGAAGAGGGTTCTATATTCTGTGCTTAAATAGCTCATAGGGTTCTGAATGGTGCTTCTCTACCTTTACAAGTCATCTGTTTCCCCAGTTGATTATGAATTCCCTGAAGCCAAGCCAACATTCCATGTTATTCATCTTTGTAAGCCTGGCATCCAGCATAGTGTCGGGTAACCACAAAGTCCCCATAAATGTTCGATATCCATAATAAGCAAATAAAGAAGAGGAATGGTGTAGAAATGTGTGCATAGGGAAGGAGGGCAGAAGAATGGGAGATGATAATGAGGAGAGAGTTTGAAGAAAGAGCTGAAAGCTCCAACATCTTACTCTCAGAATGAAAAACAGAATGGGGAAACTGAACCTCAGATCTGACACAGTGGGTATGACCCTGACATAGTGGGTCAGGGCAGGGAAAACATGCGAAAATCTTTCAAAGAAATGGGGCTTGTATAAAATTAGGAGAAGTCTTTCAACACCAGCATGTGAGCACGTGTGTGTGTGTGTGTGTGTGTGTGTGTGTGTGTGTGTAGGCTTAACATTTATGCTTGAACCATTGTTCTTTCTTATTTTGAAATCAAGTAAAAATGAACTGGCTATTTCTTCATAAATATTCTAGTTAGCCTTTGTTTGCTTGTTTTGTTTGAGTAGCTGATGAGGGATAAGGGAGTTCAAGTTTAGGTTTATATCTATCACTGCTGACTTACTCAGTATTTAAAAGGAAAAGTAAAAAAAAATGAGTTTCCAAAATATGTAATGATGATTTTGTGATATTTGTAATAAGAAATATATATATTTAGCCTTCCTTCCAGTTCCTGGAAAAAATCTGTGGAATTTCCTAAGTGATAGAGCAGTAAAGATGTATTTTTTTTTTTTATGTTAATGAGTTGACTTTGGGAAAGACCTCAGAGAACATAAGGTTGGGTTGTGGAGCCCTCCAAGCAGAGGAACCAACCTTACAATTAGAGGATTATAACTTTAAGTCCACCTACTCCCCACCTCCGACATCTAGAAAGGGAAGAGGAGCTAAAAATTGAGTTTAATCACCAGGGGCTGATGATTTGATCAATCATACGTGTGTAACAAAGTCTCGATAAACCACCAAAAGGATAGGATTGGGATAGCTTCTTGGTAAACCCAGGGAGATTCAGGGACAGTGGTGCTCCACACCCCTTCCCATCCTTGCCCTCTGTTTCTCTTCCATATGGCTATTCTAGAGTTATATCCTCTTACACTAAACTGGTAATCCAGTAAGTGAAATGTTTCTATGAGTTCCGTGAGCCACTCTGGCAAATTAATTGAGCCAAGGAGGGGGTCTTGAGAACTTCCATCTGTAGCCACTGAGTCCTTAACCTGTGTGGTATTTGATGCTATCTCCAGGTGGATAGATAGTGTGAGGATTGAGTTAATGGCTTGGTGGTGTTGAAAAAACTCACATCATAGAAATTGAATAAAGATTTTATTTTGAAGCTAGTTACTCACATAGCTCCTGAGACTTAATTGTGGGGGGCTTGTCTGCAGGCTATAACGAGGATAATCGTGTGATGCAACACTAGTGTCTACCATGAAAGAGTCTGAACACCACCATTACTCGGTGAACTCCCATTGACAATTAAGGAGGACAAGAAGGGGTTGTCTCCTTTACTTCACCATGACCCCGAATCAGAGTTCTGTCTACTTTCTTGGTAAATGTCTGTTTGGCAGTCTAGGCAATGATAATTTACACATTTACACTTTGCCTAATGGCAAATGAAGAGACCCCCATTGAACACATATATTCAATAACAAGAAAACAAAGATATATATTTTCAGTGTTCATTATATAAAAGCCTACATTTCAGGAATTCAAAATTTGCTTTCTTGAGTTGAGTTTCTTTGGTTCGTTTTTATATTACATCATAAAACCAAATTCCTGATGAATATTTCTCCTAAGAAGTCAATAGTTCTTCATATCCAGGGTCAGAAGATGCATTTAAGGGTTTTGCCAAGGGTTTATTCTTGTAACTCTGAGGCAAGAAAAGCACACTCTAAAAAAAACAAAATATGTTAGTTCTTTATGTTAGTTCTTCAGACTTCACTCAGGTTCAGCTTCATATATATACATACACATATAATAGATATATATTATATATATACTTATATCTACATTTATATCTAGATATAAATATCAATGTCACTTCCTCCATCTTTGTGTGTGTGTGTGTATACATATATATTACAAGATGAATATAGTATGTCATTAAGTTCTTTAAATAAGTGTGGCTCAATAGTCATTCTGCTTTCTGTAATACAATCTGGATAAATTAATGCTTTTTATTTCAGTGAAATGAAGCCACAAGTCCATGGTGGTGGTAGAGTGCTGTCCCATGGAATTTGAAACAACTATTTTTTTAAAAGTATCTTTTAAGTGAGAAAAGAATTTTAACATCACAGGAAGGGGGCAACCCATGGAATGGGAGAAGATATTCGCAAATGACAGTACAGACAAAGGGCTGATATCCAAGATCTATAAAGAACTCCTCAAACTCAACACACGCAAAACAGATAATCACGTCAAAAAATGGGCAGAAGACATGAACAGACACTTCTCCAAAGCAGACATACAAATGGCAAACAGACACATGAAAAAATGTTCATCATCATTAGCCATCAGGGTAAGTCAAGTCAAAACCACATTGAGATACCACCTTACACCAGTTAGAATGGCCAAAATTAACAAGACAAGAAGCAACAAGTGTTGGAGAGGATGTGGAGAAAGGGGAACCCTCTTACACTGTTGGTGGGAATGCAAGTTGGTGCAGCCACTTTGGAAAACAGTGTGGATATTCCTTAAGAAATTTAAAATAGAGCTACCTTATGACCCTGCAATTGCACAATTGGGTATTTACCCCAAAGATACAGATGTAGTGAAAAGAAGGGCCATCTGTACCCAATGTTCATAGCAGCAATGGCCACGGTCACCAAACTGAGGAAAGAACCAAGATGCCCTTCAATGGACAAATTAATAAAGAAGATATGGTCCATATATACAATGGAGTATTATGCCTCCATCAGAAAGGATGAATACCCAACTTTTGTATCAACATGGATGGGACTGGAAGAGATTATGCTGATTGAAATAGGTCAAGCAGAGAGAATCAATTATCATATGGTTTCACTTATTTGTGGAGCATAAGGAATAACGTGGAGGATGCTGGGAGATGGAGAGGAGAGCTGAGTTGGGGAAAATTGGAGGGGGAGATGAACCATGAGAGACTGTGGACTCTAAGAAACAAACTGAGGGTTTTGGAGGGGAGGAGGTTGGGGGGCTGGGTGAGCCTGGTGGTGGGTATTAAGGAGGGCATGTATTGCATGGAGCACTGGGTATGGTGCATAAAGAATGAATTCTGGAACACTGAAAAGAAATAAAATTAAATTAAATTTTAAAAAAATCACAGGAAGGGAAACCAGAGCATAAGGACATGTAGCAAATCCAGTCATGTATGCAAATGCCCTTGATCAAGTCAAGGCTGTTAGAGAGACAAGGTCTGTGGTAGAAAGTGTTCCTGTCTGATAAAGACACAAACCAGGTTCTGGGGACCTGAGCACAAACTCATACACAATGCTGAGCAAGTCATTTAATTTCCAGGTTTCTGCATCTATAAAACAGAAAGCTTGAACCAGTCAATTTTTCAGGTTCAACCATACCATTTGGTTCACCCTTAGCCAGTTAGTTACTCAATTGCCATCTGCATTACTCCTCAGTCTTCCACCCCCATCAAGCCATCTCTCATGTGTATCTTGTAACCGGCAACTGCTGACCCTTCTGCCACTCTTGTTGACATTGCTCAACACAACCCAGAACTGGAGATACACCTGGCAGGACTCACGGAGGCTGGCCAGCACACTCACCCCAGTGAAGTTGGAGTGAGCCTTTTTCCACCAAACCACAGCAGCGAGCACGGCCAGGCAGAACTCCAGCGCCGTGCAAATTAGCATCACAGACAGAGTTCCCTGAAATTCAGGAAATACAAGGTTGGTGGTGCTTGAGTCAACTGACACCTTCATGCCTTGTTCAGTGTTGACCGTAGAGGTGAAGACTGCCTCAGCCCTCAGAAGATGAAGGCAGAACATCTTCAGCAAGAGAACAATGCTCCTTCTTAGCCTAGTGATTGGCTTTCATTTAATCCCTTCGCTTATTTATTCCCTTGAGAGGCAGATGAGCAGAACTACATCAGCTACATATAACCCACTTTGTGCATTGTTTCTTATCCCACTGAGACATAGTGTGTGAACCTGAAGTCTCCACATTTATCAAATGTGCATAATGATATTTCCTTCTCAGAGATACCTGAGAACAATGAGGTTTTGACCTCATTGGTGCAAACCCTTTGTAAAATTCAACATTTTGAATGGGCTGGATGGGCTTCCTTAGCCTTTCTTTTTTTTTTTTTTAAAGATTTTATTTATTCATTTGACAGACAGAGATCACAAGTAGGCAGAGAGAGAGGAGGAAGCAGGTTCCCTGCTGAGCAGAGAGCCCGATGTGGGGCTCAATCCCAGGACCCTGGGATCATGACCTGAGCCGAAGGCAGAGGCTTTAACCCACTGAGCCACCCAGGCGCCCCTTCCTTAGCCTTTCTTAATGTTGGTAAGAGAAAGAAAAACCAAGGCAATAAACATAGCATAAACAGAGCGGCCTCCATTGCTAACAACCTACACCAACTCAAAAAAGATACTATGCCAAGAGACTAGGTTCTACCATTTCTGTCCTGAGGCATCCTTCATGCAGACCTGGCAACGTGATATCACAGGAGAGAAAATGTGATTGCATATACCTCCAGACTATTTATGTACAGTTCAAGAGGAAGTACAACTTGTTTACATTAATTAGAAACTGTCCCAGCAAGCAGGTGCAATATAATCCCTTTATTTATAAAGCAAAATTATCCCTCATGAATTCATATTGTATCCATTCCACAAATCCCTCCCAAACTTCTCTCCAGAATTTTTCCCAAGGTGGGGCTGCCTACTCCATGTGTTGCTTTATGCCAACTGCTATCAACCTCATTTGCATCTACCTTTTCTCATTGTAATATCTTGAACCTGAAGAGAAGCGCCTGGGGCCAGGTCCTCAAGGAGTGGTGCGCAAGTGCGTGCTTGACCAGCTCTGTTAGCATCTGGCCATCCTCCAACTGTGCCTTGATGTAACTCACTTTTGTGATTGTGGGACAACAGATAGGCAGCAACCTCTTTACTCGTATGTTGCCTGGGTCTTTCTCAGTGTTTTCTGACCATACACATACTCTTTAATGCTCCAACTGAAGACATTATTTCTATTAGCCAAACTTCATTCTTTTCTTTTTTCCAATAATGACAGTCATAGTCAGTTCCTGTTCTCTACCTTCCTACATCCTTATTTCCCAATTTAATAAATCCCACCCCTATAAGTTATCACAAACAACAGTGATATATTCTCCCCTGATCAGTCCTGTCCATCACTGTGGTCCCTGGAAGGAGGGGAGCCTCATCTCTGAAGCCACATTTCCTACTCTTTGCTTCCCAGTGCTGGGCTGAGTTAGCGCAGCACTGAGTTCACTCAGACTGAATTAAAGCCCAGCACACATACTTTCCATGCTTTTTGACCACGTAGGTCTTCCTGATGTCTTTGCCTTTCTTAATTTACCATTCTATGTGCCAAGATTTTTGGTTGGACAAACTCCTATTTTATACCTCTAACAACAGAATTACTTTGCTTATTAAGAAACTCTATCAACAGTAAGTTTTCATTCTTCATCATCAACTTGATTTGACATTTACTCTTCCATTCCCTATCACTGGTATGTAACCCTAGAGCCTAACCCCTTTATCTCAGCCAAGCGGTCCCCTCCCATTCACATAGCCCCAGCCTTCCCCCAGATGCCCAAACCAGAAAGAATTAGATCCTTATAAGAAGGGATAACAAAAATCAAGGATTTCAGAAATCTCATAAGATTGGGAAACCATTCTAAAAATACTTACAGCCAGAGTATTTTTGGCCATAAAACATTCATTCTTAATATATGGGTGCATATAATGGTAAAAGTAATCCCCTATAGGTGCTTTGTCCTCTTTGTTCAATTCGCACTTCCAAAAGGCAGGATCCAAAGCAGCCAGGTTGACTGAGAGGAGAATAAAACCCATAAGAGCAAACAGAGAACCCAGAATGTTTGCAGCCACGCTGCTCTGAGCCTGAAAGACAAAGGCTGAGTAAGAATCACCATCAATGACCAACACATGCCTCTTATCCCTCTTTGCCAATGCATTGCAAAATTTTTTTTCTTATTTTTGTCCCTCAGGGGATCTAGCATCGGTAGACTTAAACCAGGAGGCATCTTCCTTAGCACTCAGCAACATCTCTGAATCTAGCAGGTAAATCTTGGCTAAGTGAATGAATGTATGAAATGTTTCTCCCTAGGCAGGACTTCAGTAGGTGGCAGAGAATATTGCTCTTCTAAATTCTTTACTTGGGACTGAAAGCAGGGATCCATGGGGCCGTGCCTGCAGAATCCCCAAGAGTATGACCAAAGGCAGATATGATTTCTCTCTCCCCCGATTCATTCAGAAACCCCTCAAGGAAGCTGTCAACCACAAAAAAGAGGCAGATGAAGCAAGCTATTCTTCCTAGCATATGACTCTCTTAAATGCACACATATTCCCAAAAATGAGTGTGGGAACATAGTCCTCAGGCTTAGGTGAGTCCTGGAGTGGATAGGCTCTGGTGGTCACAGGCAGGGCTCCATATGAATGAGTGTAGCTGGACTTCTAGCCCCAGTCCAAGGGTGGTATAACACGTTAGCAGCAGTGTGAGGTAAAGGATCAGACTGGATGTCAGGAAACTGAGGTCCCTGTGGTAGCTTTGCCTGAGACCCTCTCCATTTTATGGAGTGCTCAGTTCCCTAATTTCACTTCCCTCTCTGGTTTCATTTCTACGTTTATAAGGTGAGTGAGGGGAATAAATAAAATGATCTCAGAAATATGTTCCCTCCTACCCCAATTCACAGAAGGGGGAATTGATCTAGGATTATCCTGAAATCTCTATTTATGAGTAAGTGTAGTCCAGGGCACACCCAGTAACCACAAATTAGAATATTACATAATCCCATTCAGGGGCTCAGCAGTTGGAGCTTTGGGGCACAGAAGAGAAGAGGCGGGGTATTTTTCTCCTCCAAACCCCAAGTTTCCTAAAACAATGACTACAGTATATGCCCCTTGGCCTCCTGACAGCCAGCAACAGTCATGAATTCCAGAGGATATATTTCTTAGAATGATTTAGGTTTGCTCTGGGACAGCATTCTTCCCCAGGCTCCAAAAGGGCTGGTATCATGTGTGACCACAGTAGAATTTACTACAGGACAGTTGACTCTGGTGGGCCTGAGCATATCCCAAACCCACACCCTATATCCTTGAGTTTGCTGCCCTATTCACTCTGATCTTGTTCTTCTCTGAAGAACCCCATAAGCTCCCCCTGCCAAATCTAGAAACATTATTCTTGAATTGTGCTACCCAACTTGGTTGTCACTAGCACCATGGACTCCTTGTATTTAAAGTAATCTTAAGTAAAATTTAAAATTTAAAATTCAGTTTCTTGATTTCACTAGCCACATTTCAAGCTATCAGTTGCAACGTGTGACCACCAGCCCGGGCAATAAGACTACCCTCCTCTCTATCGTCACCGGAGGTTCTACTGGACAGCACGGATCCAGCAGTTTGGAGGATAAGTGAGGGTTCCAAGTGATCACTCTCTAAATTCTGATGGAAAAAAAAGAGATAGTTTGACATGCCCTTGAGCATTCTCTCTAATTTCCTGCCATCTTCAGGAAATGTTTGTAGGCAGAGTTTCCAAATTGAATTTCTGTGCAACTGTGTTATATGTCATTCTCACCCATGACCCCCAACATCAGACTATTTGAGGGGTCTAGGATTGAGTGAAGACTTGGTGAACATTTACAGATTAGAAATCTTCTCCTTACAACGCAGATTTCCTCTCCCTGCCACTCCCAGTTCTGATTTTCCTGGAAGAGTTAAATGCAGGTAAAGTTGTCTTCTTAGCCAATACCAATGACTAATGACAACTTTTAGGACCTGAGAGTTCATACTCAAATCCAAGAAAAGTAATCATTTTTAGATTAGATAGATAAAAGAATGAGAGATATGTCCTAACATGGATAACATTTTGACTGGGTGTTCTCAAGGGTTTGGACAGATGGGCTTACACAGTGAATCCACAACAAATAGACCTCTTTATAATGCTGTCATCTTTGTCACTGAAGATCTAAAATTGAAGTCCAGTTACCGTGAAAAGGACATTATAAGGAGACAGACTTTTTCTAGAATAGATTCCTGGGAGCTGATCTAGGGGATAATACAACACCTTGAATGAAGAGTGTGATTAAGGGCACAGTGGTTGGAGGAGTGTGCACTGGACAGGAATATCAATGAGCCAAGTTCAGTTCCTGACTATGCCACTGCCTGCTCTGAAACTCAGTTTCCAACTCTGCAAGGTAAAGAGATTGATCTTGAAGAGCTCTCCTTCAATTTCATTTCAGTCCATGAGTTGTGGGTTTTGCTTCTCATACTCACCAAAGGCTTAGTTGACCTTTTCTCCATGATGATTGATAGAATTCCAGAAATGACAAACTGTTCAGAAAGGAGAGACAATGGTGAGGTCAGTTTCTATGTACAGGTGAAGCTACAATGTTATTATCATGGTGTTTATGGAAAACTCCTATGGAAACAGTCTTAGGAAACCATTGACCAACAATGTAAGGCCCAATTAATTACAGAGATGTCACTCTTTTTCCCACAAAGTATTCAGAAAAGCATGAACAAAGGCAGATAAAAGTAAGAATATATCCCAGTAACCAAAATGAGGGCGTTATGAGCCAGGAAAGGGGGTGTTTTTTTAATGACAGAAGGAAGTTTTGGAGTTAGACATTATGTAGAGAAAAATATGAAAGCAATGGTCCAGAAAAAGAAAAGAATGAGGACAGTTAACAGATATGGGAGGACAGAGACACACATGTTAAGTTGGTGGCTCCCCGGTTTAGGTGGAGTGGTGGCTGAAATCAGAGAGCAGACAAAGCTGGACACAGTGAATCATGAAGGCTGTGTTCCGAAAGTCAAAAATACTATTTTACAGTATTCATGAACCTAATTGATTTGGGGCAGTGAAGTAATAGAAAATCCTTTAACAATGGCAAAACAGGGAGAAAAGAAAAGTTGTAGATCCCACAGCCCCAGCATTAAGTACTTCAGATCTGCCTAAATAAATCCTGGGTCTTCAAAATTGAACAAGGTGCCTCTACCAACACGGGCTGTGCTTCATGACTTGCTCTCGAAGAGTAGAGTATGGAAAGAGGAGGGAAGAGGTGACTCCACAGCAGAAGAACCTGCCAACTCCACCTCAGCCTCAGGGTTAAGGTTAATGTGGTCAGTGACAAATCATGTTGATAGCATCATGTCCTCAATAGGACACCTCACCTCTGTCCCTTCCACCTGGAAATCCATCACAATTAGTCTGAATATGAAAAAAAAGTATCAGGTGAACCTCAATTTAGGAACATGCTAAAATTCAAAAAATTTCTGGCCCTTGCTACTCAAGACCAGCAACATCCCCAAGGAGAAGTCTGAGAAAGTATAGAGGAGCTGAAGGAGACACAATGATTAATGTAATGTAGTATCTTTGATGGGATCTTGGAACAGATAACAGGACAAACTTGTGAAATCCTCAAGGATTTCTTCCCTCTTCTCCCTCTGCCCCAACTTCCCTCCATCCTCCTAAGGATCTCTACTTACACACAAGGCTCCTATGAATGGGTAAGCAGCCTTCAACAGGGCAGAAAGCGTCGGGGCAAATTGTGGAGAAGAGGGAACAGATACCAAAATAATTCCCAAACTCAACACCATCACCCCACACAGGATCTGGATGGTCTGTTGGAAGAAGAAGGGAGATGGAGAATTAACATCAACATTTGGAAAGGCAAGATGTCTTTCTCTCTCCCACGGTGCTCCTGCATTATCATTCTCCGCAGGACTCCAGCAAGGAAGGATACAGACTTTGAGAAGCTCCGGAGTGAGAACTCTGCAAATATACTTTGGAAGAGATGTTGCTGTGCCACAGACAACTACTGTCTCAGGACACCTGGCAAGTGTTCAGCAAGTCTTCAGGCATCTCTGGCTCTCTGCCCTTGTCTGCTCACGTGGCGCCAGCTCCCAGCTCCCTGCAACACTGTTTCCCCTGGCTCTCTGAATCTGTTGCTAATAACTCTCTTTCTACCTCTTATGGGAACAGGGGATATCTGAAACCCCTCACGCTGTCTTAGCCCTGGTGGTGTGGACGTGCCTCCTTACATCCCCCAGACCCCACTGGACACAACAGAGAGCCTGGTCCTCTGGCCAGTTCTGAGTTCTGTGACCCCTCCAGTCCATGTCCCTGCAGCTGAGGATCTTGGCTTCCAAGTGACCAAGTTTTCCTCCTTTAAGTCCACCTCAGACACTTATGGCTCTGCTAACATTTACCAAGCCAAAGTTTTCCAAACATTATGTCCCACAAGCCTCATAGTAATCCACAGGATTGTATATTAGAGGCAAGGCAATCACTCCCACTGGGTTGTGCAAACTTAGATCATATAAATGCAGAGATGATTCCAGGAGGCAGAACTCTTTAGTTCCCTCCCCAGTCCTAGATATAGCCCTCCCTACCCTCCTTCCTTTGCTTCACAGAGCTTCTTCTTCTTCTTCTTTTAATATTTTATTTATTTATTTGACAGAGAGAGAGCAAGCACAAGCAAGGGGAGCAGTAGGCAGAGGGAGAGAAAGGAGCAGGCTCCTCGCCAAGCAGAGAACCCAATGTAGGGCCAGGACCCTGGGATCATGACCTGAGCTGAAGGCAGACGCTTAACCGACTGAGCCACCCAGGCGTCCCCACAGAGCTTCTTTAATAAATCATGCACAAGAGGAGAGAAGCCAGCAAAAGACAAATATCTCTGTTCTCAAAAGGGAAGGAGAAAAAAGGGGAAGGAGGTTTATTTGTCCTATAATTGTGGTGAGGGAAAAATTCCCTTAAAAAATCATATTATTAAGCATGCAGTTGATAAACACAGAAAAAAATGTACCTAAAATATGTAATTATTTACCATTACTTTATTATTATTATTATTAACACATATTATTTGCCCCATTACTTTTGTAAAAAAAAATAGATATACAGCTTTTTGTATGCCAATTATTCCTCAATAAAGTGTTTTTTTTTTTAAAGAAAATGTTGAGAAGCGTGCTATTGCAAAAATACAGAAACATCAACAAAAAGTGATTTGATCAGATTCAGAATAGGAGAAATACAATTTTCATATCATCTTATGTCTGGGGAAGGTTCAGATGGCCCTCCAGGGGGCTTCCATTGGTCTGCCCATCAACCTGGAATTCCTCAGGCGAAGTTTAAGAGCCTCTGTGCTCACCGTGTAGTCCCAAGACTTTCCTGCACCCCCTCCCCATTCCAGTCCAGCAAATTCTTAATTGGACTTACCCCAAGAATTTTGACATCTGCCTTTAGATGTTTCTCTAGGCTGTCTTGCCTCTGGTTGGTGGCTTTGGGATCCTCTGTTTTGGGAAAGTTGATGCCATTTGGTGTCAGAACTATGATGGTCTGATTGGCCATGGGTTGTGATATGATGGTGCCACTAGCACTGGAAAAGAAAACAAATTCAGCTTTTAAAAAGTATAGAGTGCTCAAGTCTCCTCAAACTGGGAGCCAGTATTTTCCCTTTAGTCCTGACTTGATCTATCCTTGGAAAGGAAACGGACAGCATAAAGAGCTATGAAAAGCACGAAAATTTGGTACCATGAATATTTTTTTTAAGATTTTATTTATTTATTTGACAGAGAGAGAGAGAGGGACATCACAAGTAGGCAGAGCATCAGGCAGAGAGTGAGGGGGAAGCAGGCTCCCCGCTGAGCAGAAAGCCCAATGTGGGACTTGATCCCAGGACCCTGAGATCATGACCTGAGCCAAAGGCAGAGGCTTTAACCCACTGAGCCACCCAGGGGCCCCACCATGAATATTTTTTTGTACAGTATTTGGCCCAGTCTATTCATTAGAGATAAGAGACATATCACAGGGAAGCAGAAGCACCAATCGTGAGAGGTCTCAATGTCCAGAAGCAAATGGTCACAAAAACTTAAAATATGTAGAAATCTCTCTTTCTTCTGGTTTTACCTGCAACAACTGAATTGCCAAATATTCCATGGATTTCACCCCCAAACTTCCCTACCAGTCATGAGACGCAGTAAGTGTTCTCTTTGTCAATGTTTTCCTATTCGGGTTCTGCACATCTCACACTAACTGTTCATTTTCTCGTCCAATAAATAATACTTACCAGGACTGATCCTAGGTATTTTTTATTGTATTCTACTGAACATTATCCTGTAGTGCCTTTTTTTCTTTTTTCTTTCTTTTTTTTTTTTAAGTAAGCTCTATACCCTATCTGGGACTTTGACTCATGACACTGAGATCAGAAGTCATGTGTTCTACTGACTGAGCGAGCCAGGCCACCCCATCCTATAGCACCTTTCATCTTTCAACAACTTTGTATGTTAGTTCTTTAGTTAGTAAAACCATGTCATAATTAGAGAAACTTGGAATCCAAAAGTTTATTATGAACGGAAATAATACCTGCTTTTCCTATGTGCCTATAAGAGTTAGTGCTGAAGAAATATTTGCAGTTATAATGGTTACTCAGGTAGGTTCACACAACTGGGGAGTGTAAGAACTGGGACAGGGCCCCAGGTCTCTCTGAATCTGAAGCCTTTGTACAATTCATGAGAGCATGCGACTTCCTCGTCATCCCACCTTGCAGTAGTAGCCTGTGCCTGAGTTGATTCAGGGTGGAGAAGCAGCAGCAGTCAGAAATATGGAAACAGGACCTGCAGTCATGAAACCCAGGTTCAAGTTCAGGCCCTCGGTTTGCTGGCCTCACGGACCAGTACCTGTGATATTAGCTCTATTAGCCATCTTAGCGGCAAGCTCAGCTTGGTTCTCTGTTTGCAGCACCGTTCTCAGCCCAGGGACTGTCTGGTTTGCACAGGGCCCATAGAGGTAAGAACTATGCTCCCATTAATCACATGACCCAGGGAAGGGGCCCAAGATCACACAGAAAACAGCAGAAAATGTTCAACACGCTACTCCTTCCCTCTGCTCATTCTGTTTCCAAAATACTCTCCTGCCTCTTAACTTCTTTCCAGGAGCTTCCAATCAAATCTCCCACAGGGAGGAACAGCAGGGGAGTGGGAAGTTTAAACCAGTCTCTCAGCACTGCCTACCTGTGCCCGTGGACCAGCCTGCTGGTTCCAGCCGAGTGCTCACAAACTCCCGGGAGGTGGTGACTCTGGGCTGTCACACAGTCCTGTAGAATTTTCTACTTGTCTTCATCTTTTGAAAGTCACCAGCCCTTCCTTAGTCCAGAGTTTCCAGCCACACAGGATGTGATACTTACAGATTGTAGATTTGTGAAATGTGTCTGCACTTCCTTTTTTTCCAAACTCCTAGCATCTTCAGAAAAGTCACACATAGAACCACCTAATGGCCGTGAGGACATGGGATTCCTGGAGCTCTGTGTGGGTATTGTCAGCACAATACTTACTAGCTCTGCCATTAGACAAGTCTGTGTTTTTCTCTGTGACTCCGTTTTCAAATCTCTTAGATAGGGAAACAATATCAACATTTGAGATTTGTTATAAAGTTTAGAGAAAATGTTTGTAGAAGGTCTTTCGCTGCTTCCAAGGAGTGTTCGATAATATGTAACTAATAATAGTAACATTGACTGAAATAGTGATATTGTTAAATCATAATATTATATAGCTAACCATAATCTGACTACACTGCTTTCAAGGAGCACTCAATAATATAGAGCTAATAATAATAATAATAGAATATAGAAAGATTTTTTTTGTTACTTATGTATGTTTTCCTTTTTCCAGTTCCCTGGGCTCTGGACAGGCTGAACCAGCCTCTCAGCACCCACTACCTAGATACTGGCTGCTACAGAATTATCTTTCTTCTCTGGCTTCTCTCTCTAGCAATAGATCCCTGTCCCCCGAAAAAGTTGGACACCTCTAGGAAGTGGCAAAACCATATGGGGGTGCATAAACTTGGCAAACTCACACTTGGGGCAGTTTTGTGAAACAGAGAGGTCCTGTGCCCCCTCAAGCCCTCAGGTGGGTGTTCTTTGGAAGCCGACTTTGATACGCCAGACGAGGATACCGACGCCAAAGCCAGTCAAGGAAGCTAAACAGCCCCATCCCATAAGCTTCCTCCTTCCCTTGGGGGAGTGCCAGAAGGAACCTGGGAGCACACCAGAACGATCACTCTCACCTCAGGGGGATATGGGTTCTGCACGTTAACTCCATACTTCAAAGAAAAGAATTAAGAAACACCATTAAGGTTGGCTTAGTTCCCAGGACCAGATGGCACAGATTACTAAATGCAATTCTCTTTTCTTAAATTCTAGAGATGAGTAGAGAGAGGGAACGGACCCGTCCAGAAGTGGTGGAAGAGCCACAGAAGAACCTTTACCCTCTCGCTCCTGAGCTGCTGGTGTGCCTTCTCCTTTCCCAAGGTGTCTGCTGGAGTTTTCCCATCATGTCCTGTGCCCTTATCACCATCCCAGCATCCAGTAAAAGAGTAGGGTACAGCTCTCCCGCAGGCTTTGACAAAGAAGGAGCCTAGCTCCGTAAGGGACGACCGCAACCTCTTTCCCTTCAGTGGAATGTGGTAATAACCAATTAAATCTACTGACCAAGCAAAGATTCCCTCACAGTCTGTCTTCCTCTCTTACTAGTATAACTTTAAATGATCTCAGAGGAGTTACAAGGATTGCACGAGATGACACTTCAAGGTGCTTGCTACGGAACTATACAGACAAGTGGCCCAAAAGGAGTCTATCAACAGTCTTCCCTCAACAACTCCCCCCCCCACTCAAACTCGCAATTCCAATCTCCCTCCCTGCTTCTCTCTCCCGCTCTGCATCCTCCTCCTTCTTTTTCTTTTTTTGGGGGGCTTCAGTAATATCCGAACAAGAGGCATCTCCCTCTATTCTCTCAAATTAGACCCATCCCACCTTGACTATCTGTTGTTTCCAGAGCCTGAACTCTGTCAACCCAACCTGGAGGGAAAGGAATGAGAGAGTAGTTAACACCGCAGTTAATAATTCAGGTTTCTCTAAAGAAGCACTAATGAATTTCTGATTTGGGTAATTTTTTGTTGCAGAGCAAGGGGTCCTGTCCTGTGCATTGTAGGATGTTTAACAAGATCTCTGGCCCCTACTCACTAGATGCCAGGAACGCTGCCCACCCCAGATGCGAGGTCACCAAATATTGACAAATGTCCCCTGATGGAGAGGGGACAAAATCTCCTCATTGAGAACTACTGATCTAGAAGAATAAAGTTTTTCTGTGACTTCTGCATAAAGGCAAACATGCAAGAAACAAATCATTATTGTTCTTTAGCTCATTAATTCTTTAGTTTTTTTTATAATTTTTTATTTTAAAGATTTTTATTTATTTATTTGACACAGAGAGAGAGATCACAAGGAGGCAGAGAGGCAGGCAGGGACGGGGCGGGGGAAGCAGGCTCTCCACTGAGCAGAGTGCCCGATGTGGGGCATGATCCCAGGACCCTGAGATCATGACTTGAGCTGAAGGCAGAGGCTTAATCCACCGAGCCAGCCAGGTGCCCCTTTAGTTTTTATTTTTAATTGTGGTAAAAAAAAACACATAAAATTTGTCACCTTAGTCATTTTTAAGTAGTGCAGTTCTGTAGCGTTAAGTATGTTCACATTGTTGTGCAATAGGTCTCTAGAACTTTTTCAGTTTTTTTTTTGTAAAACTGAAGCTTTATACCCATTGAATGACAATTCCCCATTTCCTCTCCCCTCAGCCCCTGGCAACCATCATTCTGGCTCTGTTACTATGAATGTGACTACTTTAGATACCTCACAACCATAGCATCATATCTTGTTTGTTCTTTTCCGACTGGCTTATGTCACATAGCATGATGTTTTCAAGTTTCATCTTCATTGTATCATGTGATAGGATCTCCTTGTTAAAGGCTGAATAATATTCCACTGTATGCATACGCCACTTGTGGTTAATTCATTCATCTGCCATTGATATTGGGTTGTTTCTTTGCCTGTTGTGAAAAATGTTGTCATAAGTGTGAGTGTGAAACTCTCCTTTTCCTTCGGGTCAGTTCCTAAAGATTTATTTTGGTTTGGTTGAGCCATGCTTTCCTGTTTCTCTCCATGTCTTGGGATCTTTTGGTGAGATTTGGGCATTTGAAAATAAAACAAAACCAAAACCACCTCTTCCAGTCTTTCATACTGGCTTCATAAAGGGGAAGACTGTTGCCAATCAGCATGGCTAGAGATTCTGGGGACCTTTCCAACATTTTCTGGAGATGCATCTGCTCTGGGCAAGTGTGTGTAAACCTCCCAGTTAAAGAGGTCTGCCTGCTTCTTCTCTGAAACCCACACATTCTTCCTCTGCATCTGTCTGAGGTACCACAGTCACTCTGGAGCTGTGACAAGCTACAGTGCTTGCTATGTTCTTAGCAAACCCCCAATCTCACACCCAAACTCTGCCAGTTTGCCTCAGCACTCCAAATCCATGAGACAGAAACCGATCCTTCTGGTAGCCCCTCAAAAATCTAGAATGCTGGACACATGCCTCTGGGCCTCTATTCTTCTTTCCCTCCTGAGGAAAAAGCTGGAGTTGGGAGTTTCCTCCCCATTATATCACACTGTGCCAGGTGGGTAAAGAAAGTATCACATGTTTTCCCATCCATTTAGATGCATCTCTTCTTGGCTATGGGCTTGTCTAGTGTGCTGTGACTTCTTAACTGATTTCAGAGGGCTTGCAAGGCATTTTGGTCCATATGTTGTTAATTTGGTGTCTCCAAGGGAGAATGGGGGCTTGGGGGCTTCCCATTCCACCATCTTGCTGATGTCACTCAAGTTAATTTCTTGTTATAAGATACTATTCTGTCTGCTGAGAGGTGGAAAGTCTCCCTATTACCTGTGGCATAATCTGCAAAGCAGGTGTTTAATATAGTCATGGAGAGCTGGACTGGGGAGTAATTTTGGTTATCAAAATTTATTTTTTTTATCATTCCATACCACTTATCAAAACATTTTTAAAAATCATATCATACCATTTATCAAAACAGGTTATCCAAGGATCCACTTGTAATGTAAGAAGGCCCAAACTCTGGACCTAAAACAACCATGGGATCTTCATTGTTTTAGCCAGGTCCCCCATCTGTGTCTCAGCTTTTGTCACTGACCCTCTGCCCCCTCTCTTCTCAGAACCATAGGAATCTTCTTAAAGTTGCCAAAGACATCTGTTATTCTCTTAATTATCATGACTACTCCTTCCATTCCGTATCTCCCTTTGTTCCTAAACAATAGGAACACTTCTCTTTCTGAAGCACTTATCGTAACTTCTTTAGTGGGATCTGATTCTTTGTACTTTTGAAAAACAAAAGCTATAAAGTAGTAGGCAGAATCTCCTTTTCCTTCCTCCATTTATATATGCCTGTACTTCCCCCCACCATTTCCTCACCCCCCAATTAATAGGTTATCTTAAGGAAAAAGCTAAGAAAGTCCTAAAATGTTTGGACTGAGAAAGGAAAAACAAATATTATCTTGCAAGAATTTTAGTCTTGCTCACAGTCTGTGGATAAAGTGCTGTTGGGCAACAGGAAGTCTGCAGCTGAAAATACAACCTGACCACCTGCTCCGCCCTTCAAGATGTTTGGAGAAGGAAGGGCCAGAGCCCAGCACAGGCTAGTTCATGGCATAGACCGAGATGCTCCTATGTGAGGAGTTTCTTCCCATAATGGAGAAGAAGCCTGCAGGGGGCAGCAAGAAAGGGGAAAACTGTTTCCAACTGAGAATTAAGTAGACTGAAGTGTACAGGATCTTTTTGATTTGAACAAACAGCCCCCTGACTTGATCTCTGTGGGCATTATGGTGTTTCTAAAGGGAAAAAACCTTGTTTGTTATAGTTAAGGAACAGCCTCAGGTCAATTGCTTTCCATTTGTGTCCCATATATACAGGAATCTATTGCATTTCTGTATGCTAATAATGAAGTAACAGAAAGAGAAATTAAGAAAACAATCCCGTTGTTTAGAATTGCACCAAAAAAATAATAAAATACCTACACAGGTGAAAAACTTGTACTCTAAAAACTGAAAAACACTAGTGAAAGAATTGAAGATGATGCAAACTAATGGAAAGATAGATATTCCATGCTCATGAGTTGAGAGAAAAAATATTGTTAAAATGTCCATACTACCCGAAGCAATAAACATATTTAATGCAGTCCCTATCAAAATACCAACAGCATGTTTCACAGAACTAGAACAAATAATTCTAAAATGTGTTTGGAACCACAAAAGACCCTGAATAGCCAAAGCAATCTTGAAGAAGAAGAACAAAG